GAGATTTTCAACCTTTTTCATCTCATGGCACTAATTACTAAAATTCTGGGGCACACCAAAAAATATATTTTTTGCCAATCTGACCCCCCAAAAGGTATAATTTTGATTCATTCATACTGGATGGCTATTGTTGTGTTGGCTGTTATCATTTTTTTATTTCACTATCTAAGGGAAAAGAGATCAGGTATTGCACATTTAAAAAATTCTTGCAGCATATTGGTTGAAGATTGCTGACTTAGTAAGTTATATAATGTCTAGTCACTAGTTTGTACACCTGAAACTAATATAATGTTGTAAGTCAATTGTAATTAAAAAGTAAAAAATTATTTAAAGAAAAGATAAACAAGAAAAAGGAATGAATTAAACTATAATACTTGGCCCAAATTTAAAAATGGTAATAGACATCTGGCCTAGATACTGGAATAAAAGGTAGTTTCCAAGGAAGTAAACCAACTTATTTTTCTGAAGAACAATTTAGTAATATGTATCAAATGTCTTTTAAAATTTTACATTTAGTCCATAAAATTCACTTTTAAGAACCAATTCTCAGGAAATTTTCATAGATGTGCACAAGAAACATCTACAATGATCTCCCAGCAATATATACATATACAAACTATTTCAAAGTTTTACATGATATGGGAAAATGGTTAAGATAAACTGTTAAGTGCAAAGTGCAGGCAGTAAAATAGCATATACATTTTGATCCAATTTAGTCTTAAAACCATACATCTACAAAAAAGCTGGAAAGAGTAATTAATTCTCCATAATGTTAATAGCTGTTATTTCTAGTTGATGGGATTAAGGTATTTTTAATTTTTTAGATTGGTTTTTCTATTAATGAGTATGGAATATCTGTAATTAAAAATTATATTTTTAAAAGGTAAAAATCTCAATCAAGTCCTGAAAGTGGCTAACAATGGAATAATAAATGGGTATAGCAGTGATCTTTGAACAAAATGCTAGAAGGGTGGAGGGATAGGGCATAGTGGACACACCTCTGCTGTGATAAAGATCATGTTTTAAATTAAAAAACAGAGGATGTCAAGGTGAAAGTTAGAAGAGGATTAAAGTTTATGTAAGCTTCAATTACAGAGGAATAAATACCTAGATCAATTACCTAGGATGACTGAAAAGGTACGGCAGTAAAAATCCTAACACAATTCTGAAAATAACCAAAGTAGCATGTTAGACAATCCTTCCTGAGTTTCTATTGTGTGTACCACTCTCACAGATTATTACATGCTGGGGTCCAAAAATAAATGTTAGAATAAATATAATACAAATTCAATTTTGACTGTTGAATTTGGCCAATGTAAAGTGGGTCAAATCTGTTAAGTGAATAACTCTTAACTTTGATATGTGAAAATCTTATAAAACTAAATTTTATACATTATATGTGGTTAATAATCACTAAACCAAGATTTCTGCATCTTTTTACACTAGCTTTAAAATTTCAGTCATCTCCTTCCTAAATCAGGCAAAAGCAAAGAAAAAGTCCAGACTACCTGGTTTCCGTACTTTCGTTGGTTCTTCATAATCTTTGTTTTCTGGATTTGAAGATTCTAGAAAGCTGATTTCCTCGGTGCCACTTTCCCCTTCTTGGCTCCTGAGGCTGTCTTCCTCCTCCTGAATAGGTGATTCTAATTCTGACTCTTCTGAATCAAGAAATATCTGACCAGCGACTACTCTGCCTGCTGTGCTGTGGTCCTTTACCGGCTCATCTGATGGCAAAGAAGTCTGAGAACAGAAAATATTTTTAGTTATCAACAGTACCAAAATTTGCTTCAATCTAATCTGACCATTACTTTTATAATACAGATATCTCTCCTACAGCTCCCTGAATGTGCCATACTTGCTCATCTCTATAGGTTTTTGTAGGTGTTCATCACATTGTCTGCATCACCTGCCTAACTCTGACTCTTTAAATTTCAACTCAGATGTTACTTTTTCCAGGAAGCCTTTTTTTTTTTTTCTGATGCAAACAGCTGCTGTATTTCTGCTAAAGTGACAGTAACACAGATAAGGCAAAGAGCTGAGGTGGGCAAGGGGTAGATTGTGCAAAATGGAAACCTAACATAAAAAGACACACATACCAGTAGCCTCTTTAAGGCAGGGAGAGAGGGAAGGAGGGAGAGAGTCTTGCATGGGGATCGAGTCCGCAACTTGGGCATGTGCACCAACCAGAATTGAACCAGAAACCTTTCGGTGCACAGGACCACAGGATGACACCCAACCAAATGAGCCATACCAGCCAGGGCTGGGAAGCCTTTCTTAATTCCTAAAGTCTGGGTTAGGATCTTCCCATACATGCTCCCAACATATCTTATATTTCCCCTTATGATAGCCCTGTACTATAACTTCCTGTTTCTTATCTATATTCCCTCTAATCTAGAGATCAGGGATTATAACTGGTTGTTCTCCTTGGATACATAATAATTAGCTTTATCCATTCAATCAAGCATTTTAAGTGCATAACTCAATAGATTTTTTTTTAAATGACATAAGTAGAAATAAATGGTAGAGAGTCTTCAAAATTTAAAAAACTAAAAATTAAAAAGAATAAAATCAATCTCTCATCCCATATAATAAAGATGAAATATGCAAATGGTCATTACATAATGACCGGATCACGGATCAGCAGGAGGGTGGGGCAGTGAGCTACAAGCGGGAGGTGGAGAGCTACAGGAGGGGGCAGGGCAGCAAGCTATGAAGGGGGGGGGGCGGAGAGCTACTGGAGGGCAGCAGCCAACTACTGGCACACGGATTTGTGCGCAGGGCTACCAGTTAAGCAATAAGAGCCTGAAGGCTCATACACATACACAAGCAAACACACATGTGGGAACATTCAAGTTGAAATTAAACCTAATAACCAACACTCTTAATGGAAATATTTATTATTTTCTCTCCCATAGGTCAGTGGTTTTTTTCTTACCGAAAAACTAGAACTATATTGATACCTGCTATCTTTTCTTTTTCTTTTTTTAAATCCAATTCTGTTGCTCAAAACATGTAGATTTCATATCCTTTGTTTTAAATCAGGCATCAAATATGAGTCAATGCAAATGTTAGTACATACCTTGGAATCTAAGGATTCATCCTGGCCGCTTTCATCATCTGTAAAGAAATTTTAAGACAACTTAGTCATCTTTCTTGTTGGGAAGTCACAGGTATTAATAAAAGAAAGCATTTGCTAAGTACAACAAATAGTAATCAGACACTGGATAAATAAAATTAGAATTCTCTAAAGCTGGTTGTATTCAACAACAGTTCAGAAAAGATTACCTGAAAGGAGAAAAAGGGGGTGAGGTGGTAGTTTTTCCAGGAAAGACATTTGTTTGATCGGTTATACAGGTAGGAAGACCAACAACTACCACACCAAAACCAGATACTTCAGATACCATTCTTCTGTATATATTCAGGCTACTATCGAGAGTGAGTTACTAAATTTATAAAAATTAGTCTCTGATTTTGTGGTTCAGGATTCTATTCTTTTCCTCTGCTCAAAATATGGAGTTACACCCGCTTATGTTAGTGCTGATTAGCACTTTTCGTTCACTAAGACTACTGAAGATGCACCCTAAGAACTATTATTATTATTTGACAGCAGAGTTGCTATACTGAGATAGTTGTGTTCTATTTTACTGAAGAGATAACCAGATACAGGTAAAAAGTAGCATCATACTATCATGTATTCATTCACAAAAGATATATTTATTAAGAAATCAATAGCTTATGTTAAATAGACAATGAATCCAACCACTAATTACTCCTTTTTTCCAAATTCACGTCTGCTGCTTTGGCTTTGCCCAATTACATTAATTATCCTTGTATTATTCTGTGTTTTCCTGGTATTACTTCTATTCTGGCCACTTATTCTTTTTCCTGTTCTTTTTTTTTGGTTAATCCTCACCGGATAATTTTTTTTCCCATTGATTTTTATTTTTAGAGAGAGTGGAAGGGGGAGTTTTTTTTTTTTTTTTTGTTAATCCTCACCGGATAATTTTTTTCCCCATTGATTTTTATTTTTAAAGAGAGAGGGAGGGGAAGAGACAGAGAGATATGGGGTCTGGGGATTGAGCCTGCAACCAAGATGCTGTGCCCTTGACTAGAATTGAACCCTCAATCCTTCAGTCCAAGGGCCAACAGTCTAACCACTGAGAAAACTGGCTAGGGCCTGTTCTTATACAAATACATTTGACAACTCCATGTCCATATGCAAATGTTTGGTCTTTGTGTTTGTGGCCAGTTAACAAATAGAGGATCTCAAAGCTTCCATCTACTCTTAAAATTACGTAATTTTAGCTAGGAATGAGCTTCAGTTTTGCCTGTTCCATAAGTTATATGAGAAATTAAACAGTAGACAAAATGTTGTAACACCATGTGATTTTTACTAGAAAATTTTGTGTTATGGTTGCCATTTATCTTTACTTCTATGGTCACATTATTCATAACCTGTAATTCTAAGATATAACAAAAACATGTTTTGGAATTTGTATTATCACTGAGCTAACCTTTAAGAAGTATAAGCAACTCAAAATTATGTACAAAACACACAACTCTATTTCACAGTATTGGTTTCTTTTGAATATTTGAAAAAAGTCTATTAGTGAGGTTTTGTCATATACAAAAGTGCTGTCAATTCAAAGAAGCTTAAGTTACAGCTTCTTTCATATCACTGCTTTTAGATTACCTTTCACATATGTTTTCGTTCTGGTGAGTGGGGGGAGGGTATAGCATGTCTTAATCCACAGTGCCTATACATTTAGGTAGTGATGTCAATCCTATATAATAAAAGCCTAATATGCTAAGTGTCTGACCGTTCCACCAGTTGCTATGATGTGCACTGACCACCAGGGGGTAGATGCTCCAACTGGTAGGTTAGCTTGCTGCTAGGGTCCAGCCAATAGGGACTGGGCGAGACAGGCCGGACACGCCCTGGAGCCCTCCCACGGTCCCTCCCCACCTTATCATGCACCGAACCAGTGGGGTCCCTCCGCCTGGCCTGCCCCCTCTCACAACCCGGGACCCCTCAGGGGATGTAGGAGAGTCGGTTTTGGCCCGATCCCCGCAGGCCAGGCCAATGCACTGAACCTCTAGTTAATTAATAATCATCCAGCATGCTAACTTCTTCACAATTATCACCCAAGTTCTAACATATGGTTCAGTTTCCATTCTCAACAAATCTTTGGACAAAGGGAAAAAAATTCATCTCTATTATATATCGAAGTTGTATGTGTGAATGTATTTAATTAATCACAAACATTAACTAGTTAATAAATCAAGAGCAGAAATGGTATATCCCTAAATACTGAATCAGTGGTTCTCAAACGTCCTAATGCCGCAACCCTTTAACACAGTTCCTCATGTTGTGGTGACCCCCAACCATAAAATTATTTTTTGTTGCTACTTCATAACTGTAATTTTGCTACTGTTATGAATCGTAATGTAAATATCTGATATGCTATATGTGTTTTCCGATGGTCATGACCCCAGGTTGAGAAACGCTGCTTTAGATTATCTGGAATTCTTAAATCACTAAATTTAGTATCTTGTCACAACAGGGCACATATGCACCTAATCATTAAATAATACAGATGCCTATGAATAAATTTTAAGACATATACATTTGAGATACTACAAGCTGTTAGGCATTCATGTGTTTCTGAACTCCAAGAGACGTGGAAACTTGTGACATCATGGTTATTTCATGTGAATTGCATCATGCTTCTCTCTCTTTCTCTTTTCTCTTCACAAACAGGAATAGATACTAAGGTTACTGGCAAATAAGATAATTTTTTCTCCTTTACTAAAGTGGGAGAAGCTATCCCAGATGGTAGTTTTAAAGCATAAGCTATTTTCTCTTTCAAACTGATATAGCTACTCACACAACACATTTAAAGAAGTTGCTTATAACCTGAAACTTCTGATGTGTAGAAATCAGGTAAGAATTAAAGACACTGAAATCACGCATCAATAAAACGAAAATAGTAATGCTTTTATCAGACATCAAGCAACAGGAAAAATGAAGAAGGATTCAATGAGGAGTTACAGATTTCTCACTCAACACTATCACATCCAAAGTATAATGGCTTGCATTACTTTAGTAATCGCACACCTTCCTTTGAAAAAGATCAATTTTCATTTTTATTTTATTAGCTAACAAAACTGCAAAGTACCATGGATATTCTTTCAGGAAAAGTAATGATTACAAATTCATTTTCCAATTCATCATGTAAATTACATTGATACACCTTCAAATAGAAACTCTTAAAGAGTTTGGTGCAAAGAGACATCCTGTTTTCCGCTTTGCCACTGAATCTGTGCGGATTCTAGGATACTCCTGATTCTTAATAACTCCTATTCTGAAGTCTGGAGACCTGGGTTCAAAACCTGACTTCATTATACATTGATTTTATCCATGTGGTTCAATATGGCAAACTTGCTCAGATTCCTTTTCCTCAATGTACCAAAGAAAATAATACCATCTGCCCTGTTGACTCACAATATTTTTGAGGAACAGAAGCACAATGAAACATCCCTGCAATCTCTAATCTATTCTTTGAATATATGGTATTAATACAACTATTACTTGAAATACCTAGCAATGGACCTAATGTAAAAGACGCTGTAATGGTGCTTGGCCCAAAGAGAGAAAAGTAACCCATTTGCCTCTTCCTGCCAAAAATAAGAAAACATGTATTTCTAAGTGAGAAAAGCTACAGTACTTTTCACTATTATCTTGGGAAAATAAAGGAGAAATATCTTTTCAATATCCTCCTTTAAATTTATTTATTTACAGAGAAAATAAAACATTTCCCATAAAAGTATCATTTTTATACATGCCTCTAAAACAAGATATTAGATAATAGCTACTGACAGTGATAGGATCAAAATTCTTTTTGCTGGCTGATTATCATATTCTACCTGCTAATAAATGCAACTTCTTCTGGGTAACTATTAACATTCGCACTTTTTAAATCAACACAAAATTATAATCCAAAACCCGGATTTTTAAATAGAAACAACTCTTTAAATCTAAACTAAAATTGAGGCTGACATCCCATATAAATAAGCAATTTAATGAATAAAAAAAGTCAACTGAAAATCCACGTACTCAATTTATAAAACTCTATCTCACATAAGTATTTTATGATATTTGCACTTTCTATCAGCCCAGCACTGCCTTTATTATCTGTCAGTATGCACATCTATATTATTTAGTTCTCTGCCTCTACCAGAGAAATGTTTTGGCACAATTTAACTACGACTGAAATCACAGCAGACATTTCTTGAACTTACATCAACACAACCCAAAGATTTAGCACTTCAGTATTAACAGTTTTCTATTATAACATACTGAGAGTCCCAAATGTTGGTTAACTGACTTCAAGAATCATCTCCACGGTCATGAAGCTCTAAGTACATAAAATCTAGTCAAAAGAAGATGCAGGAAAGTGTATGCTTTAATTTTCTTCCAATTCTGCAAACTGAATTCACAGGGATATATATCATGTTCTTTAAATAGTTCTCACAGTTCAGTGTAAAGAATCACTTGTGAAGCTTGTTAAACTACAGATACCCTGACCGGTTCCAGACATAAAACTGCATTTTTAACAAATCTCTAAGAGCAATTCTGATACAGGTGGTCCATGGTCCATCAAGTACTCTACCATCTACACCAGTCGTTTCTTTTCATACTTCCTTCGATCAAATAACTGCTAGCAGTGCTTCAAGAATTATGTCAAGTTTTAAAGATTTGGTCATTAAACTATCGATGAAAGGGGAGGTGGGGGAGTCAGACCTCAAAGCATGATGTTGGCAGTAAAGTAACTAGCATATGCTTGTTGCTCTTGAAATGGTATCTCAAACCACATTATGGATAGAACTTTAGGTTTAGACCTCCTATTTTAGAAGCAGAATGACGTTATGGCATTGACTTACAACTAGGGCAGACAATTTGGGGATTCAAATAACCATCTGGGAAATTTTCTGTTGAAAAAAAAAAAGAGTTGACATTTATACCCTGCCTTGTTCTAAAAAAATGTTAAAGCCACAGAACAGCTGTCTTGTTAACGAAAACTGATTATAATTCAAAAGCTTTACTGTACTAATTATTTATTTCCCAACACTTAGAAACACTAAGTGTTTCTTTACCAAACACACTTTCAAAACAGAAGTTTCCAGATGTAGAGAGACTAAAGTACTAAAAGAAAAAAAATAATTATTTTTAGAACCAGAGTAGAAATCAGCTAATTTGTAAAATCACAGGAATTTCTGTATCTACATACTAGTTAAAACTAGGTCCTGGCTGGATGGCTCAGTTGGTTGCGGGTTCTATTCCCAGGGTGTGTAAGAGGGGCAACCGATCCATGTTTCTTTCTCTCTCCCTTCTCCTCTATAAGATCAATCAAAACATACCCTCGGGTGAGGATTTTTTTAAAAAAGTTAAAACTAGTTGCTATGCTTTATAAATGTATAGGGACCGTTATTATTATTATTTTTTTACAAATCATAAAACTACTATCAACAAACATGGGAAAACTCAAATACTGTGACACCGAGGTAAAAAAAAACACCACTTTCTTAGGAATACTTCTTTAAAAGGGGGAGGGAATGAACACAATTATATCAAAGGTTTTCTTGATGAATCAAAGAGACTGAGGACCATCTCAGGGGCTACGTACACCACTGTCAACATCCTGGTTAGGGGGAACCTGGCTCTGCCTAGGGCAGTGGTTCTCAACCTTCTGGCCCTTTAAATACAGTTCCTCATGTTGTGACCCAACCATAAAATCATTTTCGTTGCTACTTCATAACTGTAATGTTGCTACTGTTATGACTCGTCATGTAAATATCTGATATGCAGGATGGTCTTAGGCGACCCCTGTGCAAGGGTCGCGACCCACAGGTTGAGAACCGCTGGCCTAGGGTGTCAAACACCTAATTTACAGACAGGTCCCCAAGCCAGAGTGTCAGACCCGATGCCGCACACAGTCCACACGAGCGCCGAGCAAGCTCCAGGGGGTTCCCGCGTCAGTGTGGGTCTAACCAGCTGCGGCACTCACTCCCAGGGAGTCAATTCCTCATTCGTGAGGAGTCCTGCAAAGTTTGCTGAGAGAGAAGAGGTGTGGGCACGGGGACCGCCCCTTCTTACCCCCCATTCTCTAGTCCCCTAACCACCCTCTCTCGCTCAGGCCCAATGAAGCCCACGGAACGACAGCGGCTGACAGGTGGCTGCGAGGTGAGACCAGAGACAGTGGAGTCTCCAGCTCCAGCCCCCAAGGCCCTGCCCGGGATGGAGGCCGGGGGGGCGGTGGCTCCTGGCCTCCGACCCAGGGGGCAGATACTGAC